TGTGTGTGTGTGTGTGTGTGTGTGTGTGTGTGTGTGTGTGTGTGTGTGTGTATATAATACCACAACTTATTTATGCAGTCATCTGTCGATGGACATTTAGGTTGTTTCCGTGTCTTGGCTGTTGTAAATAGTGCTGCTGTGAAAATTGAGGTGCATGAAACACTGTTCCACTTTCAAATCCTGGCCATCTATGGCTGTGGCTGGGAGGGGAGCTCCCATGGCAGGGCTGCCCCACCCAGTACTGGATGGAAAGAGGCTGGTGGGCCTGAGTCCCCGCCCCGCAGGGGGCGCTGTCAGGGCTGGTGGGTCTGGTGTGGACTTAACTGCTGTGCGTCTCTGCCACAGGTCCCTGGGTTGGCTGGCCTCTGGCTCCTGTGGCCGCAGTAGGAGTAAAGGGCTTCCTGCTTGAGCCCAGCATCGCCCAGTGTAAAGGCTTTCTTTAGTCTGGGTTTTGAAGTTTTCTACTTTCAGTTGCTTGACTGCCTGTTTGGACCTCTGCCTTCCATGTTATATTTATAGTCTCTCAGTCTCTCAGACTTCAGACTGAAAAGAGTCTTTTCTCCCCCCAATTTTAAAAAATTGAAGTTATAGTCAGTTACAATGTGTCAGTTTCTGGTGTACAGCACAGTGTCCCAGTCATGCATATACATGCATAGATTCATTTTCATATTCTCTGAAAAGAGTCTTAAATGTTATCTGCTTCTGCCTCCTACCTCCTCCATTGGTAGATAAGGATGCTGACTCACAGACGTGAAGTGACGTGTTCAAAGCTATGAGACCAGTGTCGTGACTTCAGGGATTTTTTTTTCCTGCTGCAGGTTGACGGGCCCCTCCCTGCGCCTGGCTTCCTGGCTCTGTTTGCTCCTCCTGACCTTGGCTGGCCCCCCGGGCCCTTGACAGGGCTTTGTAGCCTATGCTGATTGAGGGAACGGCTGTTTGTCGGTGTGAATCCCAGTTTGGGAATCGCTGTGGGGGCCTGCCAGGGTCACTGGGTCTTCATGTCATTATGCAGGTTAAGTAGGACCCTTGTCAAAGGGCTACTTGAGAAAACACAAGTCGTGTGAGCTGGTGACCTGTTTTATTATCATTTGATGGAAGAGACTTTTCAAAAAATTAGTGAATACAAAGTATAGAGGGAAGTCATTTTCTGGAGGGTTCATGTTGCATAAGATCAGCGAGGACTCATGAGAAAATTAGACTTTAGGCCAAACAGCTCTGCAATGTGGTTCACTGGAGAGATGTGTTTTCCTTCTTTGTCCTTTACACAGAACACCTGTTGGGTCCAATTCTGCTCTGCGGGCGGTAACGTAGGATCACTTTGTAGACTCTACTTTGATCCATTTGAACGTGGTAAAACATTCCCTTAAGTTGTTTTGACAGATCTGATTAGTAAAGAGGAATGTGGAACCTTCAACGTTGGGACGTTTCGATATAAAAAAAACTGAGATGCTTGGGTTAAACCTGACTTTTCAATCTGTTAACCTCTTTGAAACTCACTTCCCCTGTATGAGAAACGGGGAACATATACTCGGCTTACAACAAGGACGGAGTACAATAGTGCTTGTAAAGTGCTTGGCATGTAGTAGGTTCTTAATCTGCCTTAGCGTCCTTCCTTCCTAATGGTTTAACCTTTTCTGTTACGTTCAGATATCTGATATCCATGTTACTGGAGAGTCAGAGGACATGTCCGCGAAAGAGAGACTGTTACTGTGGACCCAGCAGGCAACAGAGGGTTATGCGGGCATTCGGTGTGAGAATTTCACTACCTGCTGGAGAGATGGAAAACTATTTAATGCCATCATTCATAAATACAGGTATGGACTTGGTGTTATGTTTTTTTTCCTTAGACAAATATGAGAAGTGTTTCTTTCATTTCTAAATTTAAAAATAAGCTATTATTATTATAAAAGCAATGCATGTGGAAGGCAGAACATTAACAAATACAGACAAGTAAAAAGAAAATCAACTGGAAGTCGAGCCTTCCGCCACCCTGGG